GCTTCTGCATTTTGATCAATTCTGTGAGAGCTTTAATATGCGAGTTCCATCAGACTTCAGGAAGACTTTGAAATTGATTGACTATTCATGAATGCCAGTTGACTTGTCTGTAACATTCTAAACTGAGCCTTGCTGCTTGGATGGAGTTTACAGTGAAGTTGTTCTGTGATTAGATACAAATGGAGTGATTTGTTTAAAGAGCTCTTCGGCATGCAGTCAAAACATGGTACTGTTCCGCACGTATAACACTATTAGTGTCTGTGGCAAGTTTACAAGCGCCGAGGAATTCTCTAGGTAATTTTATCACAGAAACGAAGGAGAGAGGTCACCCTGCCCCACTTGGCCTTTATTTCAGTGCCTGTGTCTGTCTGGCCCTGAAAATCAAGTAATTTCAAAGAATTTTGGTATGTTCAGCATTGAGATTTAATGCAGTTATCAGCCCTAACTTGTAGGTTTTAGCCCTGAATCTACAATGAGCAGTGTTCTCTTAGCCAACATGAATGGACCTCATTTCTTGTATGTACTGTTTCCTACTAAAGATGTCCTCTTTTATTTGCTGACCTAAAAAAAAAAAGTGTTTTCATTTCACTTAAAAAGGATCTTTTCAAGGATATTTACAGTTATTTTGGTAAGATCCCAGTCCCATGAAGACACAATCTGTCTCTTGTATTCTGATGGGACTCTCGCTAAGTCCAGTCAGCGTTATTGAATGACAAGCTCCCTTTTGTTTCCAAGGTATTCATTTAACCGCCAGTTTTCTGTATTTTTACTTAATGTCACATGGAGGCAGTTTAATCCGAGTTGTATCAATCTATGGTGTTTATGGGAATGCACCCTAAGTCTGCTTTTTTCAATAAAAAAAAAATTAATGAAAATCATAGGCGATCATTAGGTAAAACCACTAGACTTGACAGTGGGCAGTAGATCCACCGTGTTAAAAACTTCTTCAATAAGTCCTTTGGATTTAGCTGCCTGTAGGTTAATATGTGGCAGCAGGCAGCAGGAATCCCTCCTCCTGTATAGTTTGTACAGTGCAGCAACCCTCTGTTTTCAGTGCCTTGTTTGAATTATTCTCAACTTCCAGAAAACTTGCCTTGATTTTTTTCAAGAATTCCGCACATGTGGTAATACAATATTATATCATTCTGCAAACATAAAAATCCCCTTTTCCCTGCTTTGTTTACAGACAGGGGTAATGTCTGGGTGTGGATATCGTGTCTGAATTATTCTTAATTTCCTGAAAATTTGCAACGATTTTCAAAACAGTCATTCCATGTGGTAGTAGGAGGTATTATAATTACGTCATTTCAGCGACAGACACCAAGAAATTCTGCCCAGCTAATGCAATCTTCATGGTGACGTTTATCATGAATTTTGCTTGATAGCAATGTATGGATTATACCCCTTTCCATTCCCTGGATTTTTTCTGTGTATTTTGCTTTCATCATGATGAGGTGCTTGGAGAATATTATGTCAGTAAAAGAGATTCTCCACAACAAAATTTAAGGATTGACATACAGCTCAAATTGGAAGAACATCTTGATTGGATTATATATTTT